GGACGGACAGCGTGTGGCTCCACCGGATATGCCTGCGATCGGAAAGCCATGGGTTCGAGCCCGGCCTTGGCCGAATAGCCGCATTCCTAGGCCCTTAAGGGTGGCTGCCCTTCACTGCCAAACTTGCTCCCCCCCTACATGAAGAGCAAGATGGGGTAGAAGAAAAGAGATTCACCTGCAATAATCAATAAAGTGCCTGTATCATTATTAATCATGTGTGTTAATGGGGCAATGAAACCATGCATTCAAAGTATAACTAAGAAATTTAAACTCATTGCAGCTTTAAGGTGTCCTGTGCAAATTACAAATATACCCAATTATTCTGTTTACCCAGGTACTTTCCTATCATTAACACAATATAAAAATAACAGGACCTGACCAGGATGTTTTGCATATACTGTACCCTCCACCTTATCAGTTTTCCTGTAACTGGCGTGTGTAGATTTGGGTCTGTTCTGAACCTTGTAGTAGCCCTGTTTGGTGCAACCGAGTCAGTAATGCAGTTTGAATTGAAATTCAGCAAAATTCTAATTCTAAACGCAGTGCGAGGCGGCCCGGGTGAGGAATCAGCACCTCCAAGTCTGAAGCCATGGTTCTCGACCGGAAAAGGGTGGATTGCCCTCTCCTGGTCGGGGAGAAGTCACTGCCTCAAGCGGAGGAGGTCAAGTACCGTGTACCGAGTGAGGGAAAAAGGGAGTAGGAGATCGACAGACGGATCGGTGCAGTGTCGGCAGTAATGCGGACGCTGTACCGTTCTGTTTTGGTGAAGAGGGAGCTGAGCCAGAAGGCAAAGCTCTCAATTTACTGGTCGATCTACATTCCTGCCCTCACCTACTGTATGGTCATGAGCTCTGGGTAATGACCGAAAAAATGAGATCGCAGATACAGTCGGCCGTACAGATACAAATGACTTTCCTCCGCAGGGTGGCTGGGCTCAGCCTTAGAGAGAGGATGAGGAGCTGGGACGTTAAGGAGGGGCTCAGAGGAGGGAGCCAGTTGAGGTGGTTCGGGCATTTGTCTAGGACGCCTCCTGGGCGGCTCCCTGGGGAGGTGTTTCGGACATGACCAACCGGGAGGAGGCCCCCGGGACAGACCCAGCACACGCTGCAGAGATTATACCTCTCGGCTGGCCTGGGATTTCATTGGTATCCCCCCCAGAGGAGCTGGAGGAGGTGGCTGGTGAGAGGGAGGTCTGGGCATCCCTGCTTAGACTGCACCCCCCGTGACCCAACCCTGGATAAGTGACAGAAAACGGATGGATGGATGGATAATAATAATAATAATAATAATAATAATACATTTGTGTATATGTGTGTGAATATTGTCAATTTGCTTGCTTGTCTCTTCCTGGATATTCTTGTCAATATACACTAATAAATTATGTTTCGTCTTTTTTGGCCTCTTAATGTCAGTGTGTTTTAAATATTTCCAATCTCATACCCACCAGTTAGGGCCCGCAGTACGAAACAAACAAACAAACAAACAAAAAAGATTAAACCACCGTAAGCATCCTTTACATCAGAAAAAAAATGTTTTTATTGGGATATTAATTCATAAGTATGAAAGAGGATCGTTCAGACAGTTCACCAGTTATCAGCACTGTGCTTTGTCAACTTAGCGTCTGTAAAAACAAGTCAAATGATCACACTGGATTTTTAATCTGATCACCATTGTTTATTGCCTCCAGTGTTTTGCACACTTTCATAATATTTCCCAGTCAGTTTAGAAACGGGGTATCAGCTGCACATTGCTGAGCTATATTCATACCATCCATACATTTTCTGTAACCACTTGTCCTATTCAGGGCCAGAGGGGTCCTGAGCCTATGGGCACAAAGTAGGGAACAACCCAGGATGGGGTGCCAACCCATCACAGGGCACAAGGCAGGGAACAACCCAGGATGGGGTGCCAACCC